AAAAAAGACAAAAAGGAAAAAAAAAAAGAAAAAAGAAAATATCCTTCCAAAACCATAAAATGTCTTGACTATACTAATACAGAAATAACTTCAGTAAATATATATTTGGGTTGAATTCAGAATATATTCACTTTAACAAAGTTGGTGACTTGGTTTCAGAGACAAAAACAAGGCAAAATCTCAAGGCAAGTAATAATAATAATAGTAATAATAATAATCAGAAGAAAAAATTTTTAAGTGCTAAATTCAAAAATTTAGAATGAAATCCAAGTACTCAAATGCTACTACCAAGGAAAGCCTACATCAATTCAAAGCTTCCTTCTAGAAAACACTTTCTTATTAGGGATTCCCCAAGGTTTGTAAACAGATATTTACATAAAGGCTCACAAAGTTCAGCCCATGGGACTAAATTAAGCTAGAAGTGCAAAATTAACTTCATATAACAGTTCTTTAAAGATCTGGCATAAGGTTCCTTAATTTTTTCAGTATTCTTAACCCTATTTCATGAAGAAATCATATGCTATACTTAAATTTAAAAACTAGGAGATTCCTGTGGGCATTATTGCTTCAGATCAAATGTCAACTACGTGCATAAAAGAGGGTAACTTACTTGTAAACCACTAATATTATTACAAGGATTAATTCATCTGATGAGTTTTGTCCAAATCAGCAGTGTAAGTAGCTTAGACCTCGGATATCAGAAAAATGACGAAAGGGGAGGTGAACAGGACCCAAAACCTTGCATATATCAGTTTCTCCTGGACCTACAATTCTTACAAAATGTCTCAGACATACTCTTAAATATCCAACTGCCTTAAATGCTTTTTGGAAAAAGAGAAGGTGTAAACAACTGACACCTAAGTCTCTGTCATTCTAGCAGCTGAGGTTGTTTGTATTCACACTGCTGAATACTTGAAGGTGGTTCGTTCAGGTTTTTCGTCAATGACAATCCTGGCTGTGGCACCTCTGATGATGCCATTTGTACACTGGTCTGTTTTATGGTAGGAAATTTTATTTCTTAAGAAGTACATTGCCTTGTTTTCAGATTATGATTTCTCTCCCATAAATAAAATTCAAACAGAAACGGAGCCTTCATTTTCAATGTTGCTACTCCCATTTATGCTCATTAAATCATTAGCACTTAGAAAAAAACACTAAGACGCAACCTAACACCCTGTCTTGTGGATTCAGGTCCAAGAACTGCATTAAAGCTTATTATAAAGTCCACACATAGTTTTGGGTAGTAGGACAAAACTTACTGTTCAGAACATTCTCCAGTTTCTGTGTCATGGATCCTTCTACTTTTTCCGTTTCATATGCTTCTAATTTTTGATGGATAGCTAGAAAAAAACATCTAGTTATGATGTAGGCCATTTTAATGGGTGGGAATATATTATGTCAAAATGACACTTTAAAACAGCTTTAAAAAATGGTCTGTGCTTAAATGAACTCAATCAAATGCACCCACTCAAATGCCCTCAACTCAGATTTTCCAATTTTCTGACAAGTATATTTCCANTGATCCTTCTACTTTTTCCGTTCCATCCGCTTCTAATTTTTGATGGATAGCTAGAAAAAAAAACATCTAGTTAAGATGTAGGCCATTTTAATGGGTGGGAATATATTATGTCCAAATGACATTTTTAAACAGCTTTAAAAAATGGTCTGTGCTTAAATGGACCAGGAACACACTCTCAGTGCCTGGTAATATCTACTTCTCTGCTCCTTTTACTTGGTTTTTAATCCTGACCTTCTTTTTTTTAATCCTTTTTTGTTTGTTTTTTGGAAAAGCCACCTCGAATTTTGTTGGAAATTCTAAAAAAAAAATTTAAAAAAAAACCAGAATGCTCCTCTGTTGAATAAACACATTCACAGAAAGAAAAAGAAATATACTTGGAAAACAATTTTGGATTATGAGGTAACAGTGAAATAAACTGTTTCCACATTTCAAAGCTTAAACTTAGGTACAACTTATTAAATGGAAAAGAACTTCCTTTTATACCTTTACAAAAGAAAAGAGACAATGCAATAGTACTAAAAAGCTAAACTAGACAGAATTCCATGTTACATATGGGCAAAAATGCTCACACTCTTTCTTTCCATGCTGCTGTGACTTTCTGACAATCCGGCTGCAAAAGAACACGTGGCACATGCTGCGGTTTTATCAAGCGGGAGCTGCATTTGGTTGGTCCAGGGCGGTAAGACATTACAGCACGCAGGAGGCCTGCCTCAGATGTTACTTTCTAAGTAAAAGTTAGCCCAAAGGAAATCATGCAGCCACATTTTCCGATGCTGATGAAACCCATCACTGATCAGCAGGTCAAGATGAGGTGACTCTGGTCACCCAGCTCGGGTTACAGTCCTTTTTGCTAACAAAGCAACTTCCTCCCACCCACCTCCAACCCAGCAGAGCCACAGTCAAGCTGTCAGCCAAGAATGAGGACCAAGAGACACTGGGTTTTGATACAGACAATACCATTTTCCAGAAAATTAAACCAAATAACCCAGTGTCTGGTTCACTGAACCTTTTATTTTCTCTGAAAACATTTTTAAATAGAATAACTCAATAAGCTACTTGGTACAGGATCACAGGTTTGTTATTGTTTCTAATCTATTAAAACTTAATATGTAAAGCAGTTGAACATCGTTAAGTTTATATTTGGGGAACAAAAAGTGTACAAAAGGGCTATTCAAAGAAAAATCAGGGTTACAGAAAGATTGCCTATGGATTCACTGAAATTATTTACCACTTTATTTAACTCTCAAATAAAATATAGACATCAAATTTAAAATTCCAATCAAAAAACATCAGAATACCTATCTATGCATTCATATAAATGCCATTATCAAATGAGGGGCTACGGTATGGCAAGTATGCGTGGGCAATATCTACAATGATCCAGTGGCAGGTGCACAGTTATATACACACTCTAAGCACTGGATGTTACTGCTGGCCCACGTGAGACAGGAATACTCAAACCAGATATGAAGAGATGGAATTATGATTATTCTCTGAAGAACCAGACAGTAATTAACGTTAGGAGTTGTGGGCCACATACGGCCTCTATCACATATTCTTCTTTTTCTGTTTTTTCTCTTAAGCAGCCGTTGAGAAACATAGACATGCCTAGGTCCTGACCTATACAAAGACAGGCCATGGCCTAATTTGGCTTGTGAACTGGCCTCTGAGGATTAAACTGACTAAAGGAGAAGAAAATGGAAAGGATTAGGGTAAGAATAATTAATAATTTAAGACATCTTCAAATAGTTTCTACTTCTTATTCTACCAAACTTTTGTTAGAGTAGATAATGTATGCATAAATTGCATTTAAATTGGTTAATTAATCTGTGATTCATTTCCTTCCCTAGTTATATTGAAGAAAACCAGTAAATAAAAATAACTGCAACTTCTATATCAAGACTAACAGGTAAGAATAATTCCCACGTAGATAACTAGGTCCTAGAAAACCACATCTGCCTAGATTATGTTCATAATTCAATAGACACTAATAATCGAATGTACCAAAAAATCAATTATAGCTCATGCCACCCAAACTAACTGCAATAAAAGGGACATGGGAGGAAGGACGAATAATGCAGTGAGCAATGTGTTACTTACTCTGCTTTGTCCTCTTTACTCTGTACACCATAAATAATATTCATTCATACAATTTTGGCTCATATTGTTCTTGAAGGGAACAAGTGGTGATGCTGAGAACAAGTCAGTGTATAGGTTACTAACTTCACAAAGAGCAGGGGCATCCAGGGAAAAGCTCACTGGAATAAAAGAGATGATAGGAAGGCACTGAGGAGCCCAAGAAGGCCTTTAACATTAGGAGGAGCTCCATGGACATCACCGGGACCTGGGAGGACTGGTGTGAGCAGTAAGCGCTAAGAACTCTCAGCTCATCAAGACTTCAAGGGATTGGAAGGAAATGGCAAGCAGCAGCCATGGAAAAGTGAAGTCTGTGCTTGAAATATTTTTGTAGAACACAGTAAAGAAAAAACTATACTCATCACACCAAGTTTAGCTTTGGCAGGTTAAGTTATCCTAGACACACTTCTTGTCAAGTTGTGACAAAAATACTTCTGGGTGCAGGAAAAACCAAAACTGACAATGGCATAAAAACTTAAAAATGATAAATAAATGTGGCATGCCTGATTGGGATGGACTGAAAAAAAAATACCTGGACTAGGTATGAAATAGTCCACTCAATCAAAACGAAGAATAGCAACAATATCAAAAAGAGCAAAGAAAGGCTTTGGTTTTTGCCCACCACCCTATCTATACCTACATCTATAACATAAGGATGGCATTGGCCAGAAACATCTTAAATCTTTTCATAACTATCTTCAGGACTATAGTTTTGCTCCCCAATTGTTCTCACCTCCAATAACCTTTCACAGACTTTTTATAACCACTTAGAGACCAATTTCCTTACATTCTGCATAGCAGGCAACAGAAAGAAACTGGGAGAGGCATACTACTACTGGACAACTGAGCAGACTACTGAAAACCAGGAAGGGTGCTGAGAACCACACAGGGTAGCAGAAAGAAAGGAGTAGTATTTTTATACAAGTCCATTCAAAGACAAACCATAAGTTATATCTGACATAACAAAAGAAGAGTTTCAAGAACTGAAAATATGAGTCAACAGATTCCAAAGGCTTATTAGTGTTGGGAAAATAAATGAAAACAAAACCTATATTCTAGTATATACTGCAAAGGTTATTTCCTTTTTATTTATTTTTTAAAATTCACGGCTAACCAAATATATCTTTTAAGCATTTAGGTAGAGAGAAAAACGAATTACCTACAAGTAATAAAGAATTATTGGCTCAAAATTTCTTCTCTGCCACACTAAAAGTCACGGGATCAAACCTTCAGAAAATAATTTTCTTATAGCCAAGTGGCTGTTCATATATGCAGGCAAGACACATTTCCAGAAATACAAGAATTCAAAAGATATAGTAGAAAATATATACCCCACTGTTCAAAATAAAAAATTCAAAGATAGGAAAGATAAAATATAAAATGACTGGCAGTAAATATTAAAACCAATTAGATTTATGTGCATATATAGTAAATTTTAAATAACTGTGGTAAATATGTTATAAAGTTAAATGCAAAACACAAAAATAAATCTAAAAACAGAATACTGAAATGGAAAAGAAAAGGGAAAATAAAAAGCTGGATCTATAACTTCAAATTAAATTAAGATCAGGAGAAAGGAAAAAACATGGAAAATAAAGATGTGCTACACTGTTGTCATATACGACAGAACTCAAAAGACAACCTATAACAGAATTTAAAAACCTTTTCCCCAAATCTACAAATAATATAATCTACATATCTGTAGCAAAGAGAGAAAAACAAAGAAGAAATATAATAATAGAACAAGAGAAAAGAAAAAGACATTAGGACAAAAATTTCAGTTATGATAAATGTAAATGGCTTAAATTCTTCTATTAAAAGGCAAAGACTCTCAGAATGGTATTTAAAAAAAAAAATCCTGTCACATGTCGCTTACATGTGCCAAAAAAAAATTTCTGAAAGGTTACAAAGATTACTATGCATTATATGTCTAGCAAATGCAAACAAAAGGAAGAGTATAAAGCATTAACATTATGTTATTACACAGTAGAGAATTTAACCTTTCCCAGAAAACAGTCTGGCCTTTGCCCTGGCTCCTGGGAGGTTAATCTCTAAGCTCTTGAAATGTTCTGCCTGATAAAAGTGTCTTTGTCTACCTGGGGGCCTTGGACCACATAGATTGGCTAACACTCTGATTTACAGTGAGAGCTTTGGGTCACTCAGTATCAGCTTGACCTCCCAAGGGGCTGGAGACTGAGGTCAGCCATAAGGGCTGTTGAGCATGTCTATGTGACAAAGGCCCAGTAAAGACTCTAAACATCAAGGCTCAGACAGCTTCCTTGGCTGGCAGTACTCTATGTGTGTTGTCACACATGGTTGCCAGGAAAGTCAGTGCCATCCACAACTCCACTGGGAGACAACAACTGGAAGCTCCATGCACGGAACTTTCCTCAACTCTGCCCCATTCATCTGTTCCCTCAGCAAACAATAACCTCTATTTTTTCCCTGTAATAAACCATAACTGTGAGTACAACAGCCTTCAGTGAGTTTTCTGAGTCCTTCTAGCAAATTACCAAACCTAAGGGCGATCTTGGAGATGGCCCCTAACTTTACAGTTATTATTAATACATTATAATATAATAATAAGATAACCCACGCCATCAAAAGTTACAAAGTAAACATGTTTTACATACAAAGAAAAACTGACAGAATCAAAATTAAAGAGGGAGATTTGTATGCCATGTTTATTATAAATAATCTAGATTTAAATAATGTAATTATTCAGGCATCGATAATATATCAAACTGTACACCCTGAAGAGAACATGCCCTCCTCTCCTTTTTTTTTTAATCTTTCATACAGTTACAGAAAATTGACATCTATAAAGAAATATACTCTCTGTTCACAGTACTGTAAGACTAGAAACTAATTTTAAAAACAAAAATCCACTACAAACTGCTAGGTCTAAGAGGAAAATTAAAATTACACATTTTAAAAACCCAAGAAAGGGCCTATACCATGATTTTTAAATGATTTAAAAATTGTTATGCAACAGTGAAAAATATAAACATCTTGAAGAAATAGAGAATTTCTGGGGAAAATCAAACCAAAATAAACAAAATATAGAATGTAGAAATTATAAAAGTATATACACATATATAACTTTACAGTTATTATTTTATATATATAAATAGAGAGAGAGATCGCCACTGTTGGTGCCCAAACCCCCCTGAAGCCATAGATCTATTGTAGTGTCTCTATAGGAGGAACAGCCAGACACTAATGGATTCCTGGTATGATAAAATAGGAAGCACACAGTACTTACCTGTGACCAGAAATGTTGAAACTGAATCTTATCTAATGTCCAGTTAGATAAGTCCAAGCAATACAATGGAGAAAAAAATAAATTAATTGACACCATGAGGAAGTAATCAGTCAAATCCAGAATATGGGATATCCTATATAACAAATGACCTTGTCTCTTCAACAAACCAATGGCATGAAAAAACAAAAGATAGGGTAGAAAAGGTGAGGAGTTGTTCTAGTTTAAAAATCAAATGTAACACCTGAACTTTATTTGAATCTTGATTTAGACCAATCAAGAGAAAATTTGGGAATAATTGGAGAAATCTGCATATAAAGTAGGAATTAGATGATATTGAATAACTATCGCTAATTTTGTTAGCTATGATAATGATACTGTGGTTATAACACATGTAGACGTCTTTATTCGGGGGATTCATACTAAGGTATATAGAAGAGAAATGTCACGCTGCTTGATAATTGCTTTAAAATACATCAGCAAAATGCAAACAAACCAACCTCAAAAACACTGATAAAGCAAGTACAGAAAAATATTAATGACTATTAAATCTACATGATAAGTACATGAGGGCTGATTATACCATCATCTTTTACCATGTTTGAAAATTTCTATAATAGAAAAGTAAAACAAATCACCTGAGAAATTTTAATTTCCTAGCCTACCATAGCCCACTGAGAGTACATACGCTGACATATACAGGCCCATTTGATTCTGTACAACATTAACACTAAAACCTGACCAAAAAAGCATTTAGAAAAACTTCAGATCAATTTCACTTGAGACTAGTTGGAAAAAGTTATAGAAAGCTACTAAAAAATCAAGTTCTATAGTAAATAAACATAATCACCCAGAGAAGCAACAGATTTTATCTAAAGAATAAAACAGGTTTTAGCATGTATGACTCTATGTATGATATAATACCAATTTTATAATATCTATTCATACAAGCTAAAAAAAGACCAAAAGGAAATACATAAGAATGTGAATGTGATTATCTCCACCACAGAAAGTTCTTTCTAATTATATCAGTTTAATATTTTCTGTAGCATGCATTTCTTTTACATCAAAAAATTAGATGTATGTGTATGTATCTAAAGTTTTCAAATTCACTATTATTATCTATTTTCTGTATGTCATACAGTCATTTGCTTATTAGTAGTTGGTCAGCATTATCTTTGTTAAACTTTAAGTTGCAAACATACTTCTAGGGCAAATGTCTAATAAATGAGATTACATAAATTTAATGCACCAAATAAAACTTTTTGAAATCTGCCAAGGGTGAAGCCACTTACAGAAGCAAAAACCATAAATAAACAAACAAAAATATACAGGTGTATACAAATATGATTTGTTAAAAAGGGTGGAGAAAAAAATGACCATGTCTTTTTGTTAAGTGAAATCACCTTAAGCACATTAATATTATGAGACACTGGGCATATGAATAACCATCTTTACTTGATAACATGAAACTCTGTACACAAATGCTCAAGATTCCCTTCCTGACATGGTAAGATTGATCACCTAGAAAGAACAGCAATAGCACAAAGAAAGAAAGCACACCATCGAGACACACAGAGCACAATACTTATCAAGGATGAATACTTCTCTGCCCCTCCTAGCCATTCACAAAATCTAACCTCTACCTGCAAGTAAAGAGCTACATCAGATACAGATTTAACAAGTCAGAGGTCAGTTAAGTGTGTTCGGCAAATGAGGAAAGGGGTTTCAAAAACAATACAAAAATGTCTATACTTTAAGAACACAAATTAATTTTTTAAATTTAGCTTTCTCAATTAAAGAAGGTGTGGCCTCTTAATACACAGTTATAGATACTACATAGAATTATAGGTACCATATATATAGCTATGTAGGTTATAAGTATCTTAGTTTTTTAAAAGATTTGGGTTAACTCTTATTAATATATTTTACTTTTTACTAGATAAACAATAAATTTTTATTAATTAAAAAAATTTTATTAGTTTTTAAAAAACCTACCGAACATCTCTCACTGAAATGTCTGAAGCTGTAATAATTGTATTAAAACAATCTTCCGCACATATAAAGATGCTGGCACAGCCAGGGGAAAGCTAACTCTGAGTACCTATGTTAGGAGCTAGTCGGGTGCTGGCTAAAAGGAACGATATATTATCATCACTCCTTTCCAAACATAACACAAAATGGGTCACATTATAGAATAAGTCACACGTGTACAATATTGATGGCTGTAAAAGGATTTTTAAAATTCTAGCATTTTACCCATTGGGATTTAATTTATCAGCCTTGGAGATTGAACATCATAGAGAGGTAAAGCATTCTCCCATTTCACACATGTAAGATGGGCCAACAAAAGCCTCAGAGACAAATTTTTAAAGTACCAAGCCTTCAAAGAGATTCCAGTCTAGTCTGCAACAAATATTTATGGCACATTTTAGATCTCTACTTTTATAAATACAGACCCAACGTCGCACCCTGTAAACACCCTGCAAGCACAGTGTCGGGTTTCCGCTGTGGAAGTTCCCAGCAGATGGCTCCGAGGATCGCCTTACCTGAGAGGGCATCTTGTGCTTCAAAGAACGTGCTGAGACCCCCTTTCACACAGGCCAGGCTGCCCTCACTTTTCTTGTTAGCCTGTCTCCTGAGGTTGGTGACTGCCATTTTGAGCTGCTCAAAACTGAAATGAAATAAAGAAACCAAACATTTGAGACTCCTAACAAGAAAAAAGAAGATAATTATGTGTATAATGCTAGGAATGCTGAAACCTAAGTTTAGATGGATACAGATTAACACAACATGCAACCTGATGAAAACAAAATGCTTTCAAATTGCTCCATAGAACTAAAACATTTGTTTATTATGAATGCTTAATTTACACCAGCTATAAAAGAATTCTGTAGCCCTCAAATGATAATTCCAAATATGTCAGATCCCTAAGAAGTAAATGTACGTGTAGATATGTTTATAACCTATATACAATATATTTGATTTGCCAGCTATCACATATATCTGAATACCTATTTGAATATCCTCTATCTGATAGAAAGACATAGATCATCCAGTGATAGGCACTGTTTCGAAGGTGGAGCTCCTCTGCACATCCAGTTGAGTATACTGAACATGGAGCATGATGTTATCCTCACCACATCAATGCTCAGTCCTCTGTTCTTAATAATAAAATTACATAAAACTTTTAGGTCGAATCACAATTTCAGTAACTGATAAGACCACAATATTTTATCTGTACATCTCAAGCAGAGAATAAAAAGGGTAAGTCTCTGTATTTCAGAAGATTTCTTAACATTTAAGCTAAAAAAAAATCTGGCTATAAAACTCTGAATATCTTCTTGAGCACCATGATAGCCCTACACACAAAACAAAGATTTAAGTCTGACTTACAATAATAGAAAAAGCACATCGGTAATGTAAAATAAGAACCATCTTCTGCAATGAAAGAATTCGTTTCAGACATTTAAAAATTTATCGGGCTAAATTTACTCTATGTATTAAAATACCAACTTTTCCTTATGTTTTCTAGTAATGGTTATCATCCTAATGAGTGAATGAAAAATTTATATTAAGGTATATTTTAACGAGTTGATTTACCGAGAATATAAGTTTTAAGCCACCAACTATTCATTTATCCAAATGTTTTTCACTAAATATAATTGTTCTAAATTAACCTTTGAAATAGGTTACGAATCTACTGTTGGAGGAAGTGAGTAAAATGTAACCAGCAGATGAAAAGAACACGTTAGCATGGATACATAACCTTGTCTACTTCTCGGCTATTTTTTTTTTTTTTTTTTTACTTTTTTTTTGTGACCAGTAAGGGGATCGGAACCCTTGGCTTGGTGTCGCCCGCACCGCGCTCAGCCAGTGAGCACACCGGCCATCCCTATATAGGATCCGAATCCGTGGCCTCGGCGCTCCCAGCGCCACTACGCCCCCAGCACTGCACTCTCCCAAGTGAGCCATGGGGCTGGACCCTTCTTGGCTAATTTTAAGCCAGGTCTTTACGTAATGACAAAACCAACTCATCCGCGGCCTCGGCGCTCCCAGCGCCACTACGCCCCCAGCACTGCACTCTCCCAAGTGAGCCACGGGGCTGGACCCTTCTTGGCTAATTTTAAGCCAGGTCTTTACGTAATGACAAAACCAACTCATCCTCTTTTGCTCTATGGTCAGGGAAGACAGCATGTCCCAGATTTCACAGAAGAACTGAAAATTGTTTTATTATTTAAGTAGGGAGAGATCACATTCACACACATTAGTTTAAGTCCCCAGCTAAGACTCCACAAAGAATGAACTGCACAAATAATGAAACACACAGAAACATAAAATGACAGTAGGAAATAAGAAACCTCTAATTAATAATTTCTCTTTACAAATAAGGAAATACCCTGAGATGTTTACAGACTCACCCAAAGTCAAAAGGCTCACAGACCTAGAACTATGCTACTGCATGCTGAGCCAAACCTAACACTCAAATTACTCTTTAATCCCATTATTAGCACCTGAGGGAAATCCTTCACAGTTGACAGCCCACCATCCACTAACCTGGTAGTTGAATGGTTCTCTATGAGATACCAGGCAGCTGAAAAATTCTCACTTGTAAAATCAGCACTCATTCCATGGAACAGCATTTCTAAGTCCTTCTGGGGAAATTTACTTCTGAGGGAAAAAAAGGTTTCAAATATATTTTAAATGTTATTACCACAAAAATGTAATAAACATCACTGAGTACCTAGTATAATAATCATAAATGCAAACCATTACAATTATTCATAATACATTATTGAGAATATGTTTGTACATATATGAAATACATTTACCAACCACATCATGGTTGATTTCCTGTCATGTAAACTTTGATTGTATATATAAAACTTAGTATATTAGTTGAAATACAGAAATTACATCATTAAAAAATATAAGATTTAAAGAGGGTTTAAGTCATCAGGCTGAATTGATGCTTTTTACAAAATTTATCAAAATATAAAATCATTCCCCGCTCAATGGAAAAAATCAAAATTTGGATACAGTAAAATTAAAAACATTATTTTGTTAAAATGCTTTTTGTTAAAGTCCTATATATAAGATATACTAATACCTAAGAAATCATCAGAGTACTAATAAAACCTAGATCTAACTGTGTAGTACTCATATTTACATGTTCACGTCAAGAACCTTAAGAAAAGCTTGTGATAACACGGGCTATCCATTATCTGCAGCACACTTACATCTTGCCCACACTTACAAAACTGACCTCTGGATCAACTCATTTACCTGTTTGTTCAAATACTACTTAACTGTCTACTGTGGGTCTGGCTCCATGCTGGGACATCGGATGCATCTGACAGCAAAGGCCCCTGGCCAGCCCCTGCCCGCCAAGGGCTCACTACCTCGTGCCCTTTGCTGCCCACCCCGCCACCTGCTTTGCAGGGTGAGGTCCCTAGTCAAGGGCCTCCATGAGCTGAGCCTGCTTCTCTCTTGGGACTCACTCCCGCTACTCTACCCATCAAACCCGAAGCTTCAGGCACCTCGAACAAACTACACTTTGCTGCACACGCCACGCATGCTTTTCGTTCACTCCTCTGATTTGCTGCCCCTCTGACTGGAATACGACCCGATACACTGGACTAGCCCAACTCACAAGGTATAAAGAGGACACATTATTTTATAGCCCAGTGTCTCTTTTAAAATCTATTTGGTGGGGGAATTACCCCTACCCCAGAAGAAAAGATGGGCAGGTCCACTGACTTTCCCACCTACTCTTATCTGGAAGAGTCCCAATGTCCCATCACTACAGACAGCACAGCCTCAATTCAGAAACTAGGCAGCTTAGTCTGAGAGGTAACACTTTTCCTTTTCTCTCCCTAGCTAAGACCAATGGTCGATGGGCTGCTCATTTTGGGAGACACGTGACAGGCTTTGACCTTTCCCCTACTGGTTATTTACTTTGTCTAACAGGGGGAGAGGGGGAGGTAAGAATGGAGTGTCTTCTGAGCCTGTGACTGGTACTGCCACAGGTGCTGTGGGCCCTCTGTCTACCAGGGATCAAGACCTACTTGAGTCTTGCAGCCTCCCTGAAGGCTGCTCTGGGGGATCCCTCTAACCACAACTCCTGGAAGCATTTATTCTGCAGCCTCAAGGTGTCCCGTAGTCTTACTGTTATAAACAGTCTATTCACCTGAGGCACAACTTCCAGTGGCCAGGAGCCTGCACTCTGCAGCAAGGGGCTCATCTAAGCACAGGAGCACCCCTCCTAAGGTGGCCACTTCCACTCTCTACTTGGCTTTGTGCTGCATGGCTGCAGGGAACACTTCCACCTGGAGGCTGTGGATGCCTCATGTGCCAGGCCCAGGTAGAGAAGGTTACGTGTTCTCCAGTCTTCCCCTTCGTGGCCTAGCCTGGCTCTCCCCACAGGAATCTGTTACAGACCCTCTCTGCCTCTGCTCTCTCCCTTGATGCTCCCTAAGAGAACAGGAGAGCAGGCAGCAGAGCTGCTGTCAAAGTCTTCCTTTGTGAACGCCGCACAGTGAGCTCCACCTTTCACTGGGACTGAACATCCAACATGCAAGCACCTCAGCCAGAGACACAGTATCCCTGGACACCCTGACACACTGACCTTCACTATGAAATGTTCCTATTTTAATTAGGAGGAAAAGAAAGCCCTGCTTAAAACTGTGGTAACAGAACAGAAGATGAGATGAGATTCTAGGAGGACTGGCATCACCTCAGTGTGGTGACTCTGCTACATCCATCATGCACTTTTCCTTGCTAGCTTCAAAAGTTAAGAAAGACTGACAGTCTGAGTCTTCCTGAGGTGTGTGTGTGGCATTTATTAGCTTGCTGCTCAGGTTCCACCAGTCAGCAGTCTCTGAGAGGCAGTGGAGAGCTCTGCATTTTCAGAAGTTTATTTTGGTTTAGATTCCTCCTGCTGGTTCTGATACTTGGTAAAAAAAAAAATCCTGTCACTTTTGGAAGTTTTTCTCATTTTATTTGTTTGTACAGCATGCCTCTAAGGTAGAACTTTTGGGGAATTTAATGACTGAGTAGAGACTTGGGCTCAACAATGACATGCCAAGCCCCAGCTAAGTAACCCAGAAATCCTTCCTCTGACATGCCCTGGGCTTCTCTGCAGTCCTACTTCAACGGGTGGGGAAGTGTCCCTCTAGAGTGCTGTGTGAAAGCTCATGCGACTTTGACTAAATGGCGGGACCAGTTAGTAAGGTCTGCCATCAACGCACAGGAGAAGCACGTGGTGGTGTGCAGACCATGTTTCTGTCAACCTGGCCTCTATGCACTGGTGCTCTACCAAGTGCCTAGTGCTGCACTTGCTCAGGAACTGAAATAATCTTAATAGAATCAGAGTGCTACAGAACCACCTGAATATCAACGAAATTCCTACTAATATCAGTCTTTACAAATCATTCAACTATAAGAAATCTTCATCTAAAAGCACCAATTCCAAACTCACATATGGAGGATACAGCTGAGAATAAACAAGTGAAAAGAGATTCTGAGAAGCAAAACTGAGCTTCTGCATCCCTCATGCAAGGCCCGTAAGAGTTGTATTGTGGTTGGGAGTTGCCCAAAAGGGACGCAGAAAGTGAAGAAGGGTGGCTACTGTTAAGAACTGACAACATCAAGAAAGAACCTATGACAGTGATAGTAAGTAAAGCAAAAGTATAAAATGCACACCCAAAACTCAAAAATACACCAGTTGTATGCCACAGGAAGTGGCTAAACAGTTAAAATGCTTAAATTGGTGGTACTGAAAGATGTAAACCTGCAGCTATCCAGAACTTCCCTATAATTCACCTGGTTCTTAAATTTTAGTAACATCTCATTTACAATGCACTAAACTTATATTTTTTATGCATATCCCACCCAGCCCAGCATTCCCACCTTCCCTGGTGAGATCAACTACCCCAAGCCAACCACGCCTGTCATATTCCTCTTGCTGTCTGTTGAGTGATCTTCTTGTGACCAGCCATGTCTGAAGGAAGATCTACTGGAGCACTTCTACAATTTTAGAAAGGAGAACCAAGAAGAGATAGCGTCTTTCTGCCTCTGAACTTCACTACATCTAGTTTCAACATAGGAATCGCTAAAGCCATATTCCAATTACAAGGAAATCAGTGCTTTGGGCAGCAGAACAGCCATCCCAGGTTCCTCACATGTTGGTAATGTGACTGAGTCACTGAGTCGACCAATCTTGGAGTCTACCATCTCTGGATTTTGTATATTATTAGGAAATAAATGTCTGTTTTGTTTAAGCCAAATTAATTTTCATTTTCTGTTACTTGGAGCTAAAGGCATTCTGATTTGATATTCAATGCCAAAATACATGCATAAATATACTGATCCTTTACACAAGCAGCTCAAAAATGTGAAACAGATAATCTGGAAAAAATTAAAAAACAAATGACAAAGCAAGGAATCTGTGTGGTTCTCTGGGGAGCACAGCTGCAAAATACAGATGATTGTCTCAGTACTTATGACAAGTAGCAGCAGTAAAAAGCAGTGGTTAAGAGCCTAGGCTCCAGGTTCAACCTCAAAGTTTGCTCAATCTGTCTATATAGCCTTGCAGAAGTTATTTAACCTCTCTAAGGTTCCATTTGTTCATGAGGACAATGGGGCCATAACATCTTCCTCTTAGGAATGTTTTATGGATTAAAGCAGATAATGCTTGTGGAACGTTTAGCAGTCTCTGACACAATAAATACTCAACAATGTTATCCGCCGTTATTTTTATTCTTTATACTTATGTCTTTATGTTTTACAGACTACTTTCATAAATATCATTTTGTTTGATTCTCGTAACAAGTGAGTTAAATATACTCATATTTACAGATGAGGAGATGGCCTCAGAGAAGTTACATATGAACAGTCGAGATTTGAATCTGGTGGTTCTACTGTCAAATGAAGACCCAGATAATCTCAGATGTGAAATAAAACCATAACTACAGATCAATAAATATAAAACTGTAGGGGAGAGTGGGGGGAGGAGTTGATGCAGAATGAAGAAAAATGCTAATGATCTGAGCAACAGCAGGAAAGGAACGAGCAGGATGTCAGCACAGCTAAGGAAGCGCAGAGAGTTAAGACTGAGGTGTTTGTCCAGAATAACCAGACTGTGGACTCTCACCTTCCAAGGGAAGTGATGGGGCAACAAGTCAGCAACAGCAGAATATATTCTGAGTAATTCACACGAAGTCTGCACTTTAAAATCTGCCAGCATGGAGTTAGAGACTGAAAGTAGCACGCACTGCACTACATAAACTCATGAAATACTTTCATCAAGGAATCAAAACACACAGTTTCAGTTGCTGACAACTCTCACCACCCCTAAAAAAGGAAAACGTGTTTCCCATTAGATGGCAGTGCAAGCTCAGGTTTAAACTGAAGAGGGTTAGCCCCAAGCCACTGGAAGATCGAAGCAGGAGAATGAAAGGACAGACACAAAACTAGCAGAAATGTTCATAAACTATCAGCATTCACTTTCCAGTATGACAACAGTCTCAAAATCATTTTGAGAATATTCTGGCCGCCCCCCACACAGGGAGGACTGCTTACAGTTGTGCTCCTCAGTGTGTGCCCTGACGAGGACATGTTTTCTCGATCTGGCAGATGGCAGATGGAAGGGAGAGGCTAACACAGTAAAAGTGGGTGTATGTACCTCTTTTGAGTGTGTATATGTTATACCAATTTCTTTTAGTTTGAAATTTTTAGCAACATTGTTTACACTGCGTTGTATTAAATATTATGGGTTTGTTTTGCTTGTTTTTGTTTTTTGATCTGACACAGTTTTGGACTTAGGCAGCATATCACATCACAGCCCACAAATCTATTTTTACAAAAATTCTTAAAGGTAAATTCATCCAAGGCTCTTCTCTTCTACATTCAAACTGAGAGTTATTTTACTGTCACGTTTCCTTTTTTAAAAATGTACTTTTCTAAATGTTGTGGAAAACTGGTCACCTTTTCTTTCTACTGGAAAGCCAAACTGATTAGAAGACAATCCGACTTGCAATACCCATAAAACCCACGCAGAAATAAAACAGGTATTAGTAGCACATCAAATGACTACTCTAGACAGCCATTCCCAGGTGATAATTCACAAAAAAAGTTGGAGATCATATAAAAACAGGAGCAAAGCTCCGTTTTTCTGTCCCTACTCCCACACATGTTCTGCCTCCAGAATATCACTCATAAATACTCTCAGGCAAATGAGTATTACTTTCAAGAAACAAGACCTACTGAAGGCTTTCACTTAATATGAACTGTTTTTACCTTCTTTTTTGGTTTAAATAGTTTGTCTCCATTACAATTTAAGTCACGCAAAGAACACATATATTTGTGAACACAATCGGCATAATAAATCAGAAAACAATCATCATAATAAATAAAAAATATAGACCTTTTACAAGCAAGTTCTAGTCCCAATTCAAAGTGAAGTTACTTTTTGGAAACAACTAGTTAACATTTTTACTAGCATGGCAGCATGTATACAAAAACATTAGTTAAAAATTTAGAAATATGAAGGACTTCACCAGTCAAAAACAGCTAATACATGCCAGTTGTTAAGCACGTGGGCTGAAAGACGACAGTATGCAGGCTGGGTCTATCAATAAAATATTTATTGAACTATGACTCACACTAAAGAGCAGCAAGAACACTACACCGTGCTGCTCTCAATGGCTTCTTTTCAGATGAACCGGCCCCAACACTCCAGGGCCCCTCCTTGTTCCCCTTTGTGCACTGGACTGTCAGCCATGGAAAGCTCCCATAAATGCTCACACTGCGACTGCCTGAAGCCCACTCCCCTTCCAAAGGCAGCCTCGCCACTTCAGTCTTATAATTCAACAGGACTACAGTGGAGGATTTTACAACAAGCACTATAATTCTTCAAATCTTGTAATTAATATATTTCAACAAACAAATAATATTAAAACCCTGTTATTTCTTCTCCAATGATCTTTTTAAAGCATAGGTCCTCCACAGCCTCTTAATTATAAAAGAAATGACAAACAGAAATAAAAACAGATAGTAAGGCTTCTAATCTGAATGCAACACCATTCTCTACAGAGACCAACACTTTTATCTAAAAAACGTTAAATGGGCCAGGGAAATAAAACACACACTAATATTTTATAATTTGCCTTTCCTTTCCATGTCTTTATTTTTTCTCTACAATAAGATTTCTCTATCCGAGGTCAAAGAATTCAATAAAATAAATGCAGCTTTCTTGACAGCGAAAGAAAAGAAAAAAGAAAAGAAAGGAAAGGAAAGGAAAAGAAAAGAAAAGAAAGCAAAGAAACCTGAAAAAGCATTTTTCTGGCTGAAAACATTCTCTTCTCTTGGTTTCTATACCTCTTCCTACTATCATCTTTCATTTTCTTGCTTCCTTGTATCTCTATCCTCTTTCTTTTGACAAAAAAAAAAAAATTGCAAAAGACTTTTAGATAGACATAAAGATTACTGGACGTGTGCTCCCTGTCTGGAGCACCCTCCCCACGCTCTCTGAGGCTATAGGATCCGCACATCATTCTCCGGCGTTGACTACTCTGCAGCTCCATTGGAGAGACAGCAGCCAGCTTGTGGAGGGCTGATGGTGACCCGAGGGACTCCAGTCCACGGAAAAGCACAGGTGAAAATGTCACTGATTAGAACCCAGTAGAAATGGCCAGTTTTGCATCTTTCCACATTCCTCATTGCCTATTAAGTCTCTCCCCTGGGATCTCCTTTGAACTGGTTTTAAGATCTTATTGGTTCTCCCAGTAATTAACAGGTTAAATAAAAGCTCTTATATCTGTTCCTTTTATATTTGTATGAGAGTCATGATTTTACCTTTTTCAAAAATTATCCTTTAACATTTTACATTATCCCATGGCTGAGCTAATATTACTGAAACTTAAATAACAGCTTGAAAAAAATTTTGTTAATTTATTCCCATTTAAGTACTTCTTGAATAAATATACATAATACTATTTTAAGATTTTAATACAATTTATTACCCTGTAACCTTAAGTCATTAAAAAGATATTCTTTTCCTAAGTGGCAGAGAAATAAACAGCATATATCCAAGAAGAACAAAGAATCAAGTAGCAAGGACGAGCATTCACTGGGCCCTTGTTGTGTTCGAGGTGTTACCTATACTCACCGAGTCCTCACAACAACCTTAAGAAACAGGCACTCCCTTTTGCACCTGAGGAAACTGAGGCAAAGAGAAGTTCAGTAACTTCCTCAAGGTCATACTGCTAGTAAGCGGTAGGGCCAGATTCAAATCAAGAGGCTCTGGCTCCTGTCTGAACAAGACTACCTCTCAGAGAAGAAAGAAAAGAAAACTTTCAGAAAGCTGAGCACTTTTACTGCCATTATTCTTCGCTGCCGTTACTAATGTTACCAAAAGGGCTATCCTGAAATGGATTAAGAAAAAGCACCATTAGAGAGGCTGAAGCTAAACTTCTCTGTGTGTAGCAGCAATAATGGGGATAAAAAGACAATCAAAGGGCAAGAGGACAAAAGAGGCAGACAGAACAAACAGGGCTGGGATTACGTGCCAAAAGAAGAGGTGAGGAAATCCATTTTATCACAGTAAACATCCAACTGAATCCTAACTTCAACTGTTTTGTCTAAGTCTCATACAAAATGTCTGTAACATCCCCTACCTTTGCCCATGCACAAAACTGGCTTCTGGTGATGGAAGAACAGTCCAAAGGACCCTCCTACTCTACACTTCCATGGCAGCCTTGGTTGAAAGCTGACTTTCAACAGCATTAAAACAGTTTAACACTGAAAGGGTTTACTGCTGCTGTGGTTTGAGTGTACCCCCACGCTCATGTTGGAACTTAACTCCCAATATGGTGACGGAAAGCGGGGCCTTGAAGAGGTGACTGGATCACCAGGACTGCGCGTTGATGGTTGAACGGGTTGTCATAAGCTTTTATCAGGGGACTGAATGAGAAGGTTATTTCTCTTGCTCATGCCACTCTCACCACGGGATAGCCTGTGCTGCCACAGGACCCTGTAGAGAGTCGCCATCAAGAAGGCCCTCACCAGATGTGTTCCCTGGACCGTGAACTTCCTAGCCTCCAAACTGTAATAAATAAATTTCACTTCTTTATAAATTACCCAATTTCAGGTATTCTGTTATAAGCAACAGAAAACTGAATAACACAACTATCCACTGCAAAGTCTACTCATGCTTGAAACTGTGCTCAAATAAATATCTAGCTATTATCATTCTTTTCTGGACTCTCTCAATCTTTAAACCATTAACTTATAGGTCACTGAAATCCTTAAAACAGCTTTAGAATGACCCATACTGCCAAAGTGTTTCAAAGATGTGACCTAGGACAGCCCAAGCTCACGAAAAGCTGATAAGTCCCAGGACTTCTTGTCACTGTTGAACATGATACCTTCCCAAGGTAAGCCACTGCTCCCTCTCTTTTTCAGTAGGGAAAAAAGAAGTTTGCTATTTGAATTATCAATGGTCTTCAAGTGTAGCCTTGAAGATTAAACATATAAAGATTAGTGACAAATTTTCCCCATTCCTAGAAAAACCTAAAATAAAGGTATGGTTAAAGTAGTAACAGAAATAATTTGTCACCTTTGGTAAGTGTTATGGAAGAACACTCAGTATATAACTGAATAAGCAGAATCATTAAGGCCAGAAAATAAATTAGACATAATTAATATGTTAGAAGAACTGTTTAACTAAGATATAAAGATAAAGGTACTAATTATAAAAGTTACTAAAACATTATACTAAGGATTGAGAAAGCAGAACTCCAGACTCAGTCACAAAACATCTCAAACAATACCATTTACCAGGTAAAATTCTGATGATTAAAGTTAAATTAGTCTGGATTAAGTAAGAATTATAGGCAGGGGTTATAAACAAAATGAAAGACCAAACCGGACCTAATTATTCTAAAACATTTCTAGAAAAATCAAGAAAATGGATAGATTATAAATTCTATTTTGACTTCAAGTGCCATCTAAATGAGTTTAAATACCATTAAACTTAATACCTCCACATAACATATTAATGCTTATAACATTAAAAGTATTAGTTATTAAAATTTTCAGATGATCTTTTTCACAAACTCAAAAAACTATAAAGAGGTAAGTAGTTTTGTCAAAAGTTTCAACTAATTCCAACATTCACCCACAGCAAAGCAAACCTGGCTTCAGAAATAACACCTGTACTCAAATAATTGCTCTGCCTTCAAATCATGCTTCTGGAGTTTGACTCCCTTTACTGCAAGCATATAAAACTTTTCAGTAACTGAGAAACTGAAGAAAACCCAAGGCAAGATCGTACTCACTTTTCAATCTCAATGCCGAGAGGATTAGCAGGACGTAGAGAAAGGGGAGGAATTCCTTTATTCCTGTCAGTACGCATGTCATAATAATTCACTTCATCAACCCAAACAGCAGACTGATCCAAAATGCCTATAAAAAGTGAGGAACACATCCTTAATAAGATAAATACTCCCCTGGGCACCTAAGTCTTGCCACATTGCTTTACTTTTTAAAAACCTGATACAAAAATGCCTGTAGAAAATTTTTAAGAGATTTGAGGGCATGACAGCTCAGAATTGTTTTTTAATGACCAGTAGCTTAATTTAAAACAATAAGAATCTATAAAATGGCAAAATGAACACCTCTTGGTTTATGGTTTCATTGTACATTATTCAACGGAGAGGACAAATTAAGCCTCTGAGAAAAAGTTCTCCTAAACCAAATGTATTTCACAAATAAAAAACACTGTAATTACTTATACAGTGTTAAATATTACTGATTAAGTTGGTTAAAAAAAATCAGTTGGTATATAAGATGCAATGATATGACCTACAATGTCTGCTTATTCAAGAGAACATGCTGAAATCATGTACACTTTTGGAAAATGACTGGGCAACACCTAGGCACAGAACATTTAAGTTAAGTGTTAGTTCAATGAAAAACTTCTTGTTTATGAGAACTGATGAAAAACCATTATAATTTTACATTTAATATTCTGAGTTTCTTCTTCTGGGTTCTATAAGCCACCTGAACACATTACACTACAGATGAAAACCAAATGTTTTTAAAATGGTTGTTGAAAACTCTCAAGAAATGCCTTTCATTTTCCTTTCCTCTACAAACAGTTACAAATTTTCAGGAATAGCTATGTGAAAATGACATACTCCTTGCTATTTTATTTTTGGTATTATTAATGCTGGAAATGTCCTAGATGGTAGAAGGAACAGCTTTTTCTATATTATGCTGAAATCAGTTTGGTAAATTCAACAAAATACCCGACAACTAAGCCAGGCAAACATCTTCCAAGGAATGCATGGCTTGAATAAGAGAAATGACTAGGTTAGTCAGAGAAAACCGACTGGTCTGGGCCCTGCAAACAAGACATAATCCCTGAGGACAGCATCCTTCTTTATGTCATTGAACTCTTCATCATTCAGCTCAGCACAGGACTTACCAGCCACTGCCTCCAGGACCCTGGGATGCAAGAGAACAGAAGCAAAGTTCCAGGGAGCAGAGAGGTGCACACATCTCTGTGGGGGAGGCTGGGAAGGCCTCCTAAAAGAAGGCAACCTGTAGCTGTATGACCCTTTGTGAACCTACTAAATCTCTCAGCACCCTCTGTTCTGCCAGGACACAACAGGGGCTTTGACAGAGGTTATGCTCAGGTCCAGACACTCTTTAGCTCAGTTCAGTAAAGCTTTTTTGAGCCTACTATGTACTAGGTCCTGGGCTGAGAGTTTTAGAATAAAATTACTACTTTCACATACGTTTTCTTTATCTGCTCTACAAGAATGTCATGAGATGATGCTACAAGATGATGCTGGATTTTATTAAAATGTTTTAAGATCCTCCAAAAAACTGAATAATAAGATCCTGCTTTAATTTCACAGTTCAGTTTTTGAAGATGTTAAATAAAAAAGAGTAAATAAAAATAGAAATATATTCTTATATGTACGCATATACATACTGGTATATGTACATTTGCACTTTGAATTTTCTCTTAAATCCCTTAAATCTTTATTTATAAAAAAATGTTTAGGAATTTGTGGAGGATAATGTTACAGAAAGACTCTGTGTGCTAAGATATAAAACAAAAACAATGTGCAAAATTATTTACTTTTCTATATAAAGAGAAGTACTGCCTAGGTTTAATCATGCCCATGATGTCCTACATTATGCAAATATTTATCAAGTACTGACCATGTGTAAGACCTTATAGGACCACAAAGATGTATCTGACATTACTCTTATTTTAGTAGGGGAAACAGGCATGTGGAGAAATAGCTATAATAATTAAAAGTTATTAATTTATTGCAGAAGGGACTATGCTATGCATTTTACACTTACATCCTAACTCATTCAGTCCTATGAGGCAGGTAGGTAATTATTTCACTTTTACCCACAAAGTAACTAGGCACTGAAGTCATGCAGCCAGTCGTGGTGACAGCCCAGGTTAGATCTCAGAGTCAGGCTCCTAGACCAAGTTCCCATCCACTGCTAACATAAGAAAGCAGGTGAGGAGTGCATGAAAAGGAATCTATGAAGTGCCATGGGACAAAGAAGAGTGGTTATAACCAGTTTGGAGGGCTAAGCCAGGCCTCAAAGGTGGAGAAAATGAAGGAAAAGGGAACGTTATTCAGATAACACTGGTGCTAATTTTGCCAGATCGAAAGGATATTTCACCTCAGCTCTTAACTATATAACAGTTTAAAGGCAATGTCATTACATCCGAGATCTAGGAACCAAAACTGGTATCAAAATGCTAAATGAACATATTTTTTTTAGGAACTTAGAGCAAAGGTTCTCATGATCATCATCCTTGGGTTTTACTGACTGTTAGCTTTTCATACATAATGAAAATTTTAACCAACATCCATCTCACTCCTGTCAAAATAAACATAAACTAAATCTAGGTTAATGAGATATGAGAACAGGTAAATTTTATACTAATCTTTTAATTTTAAATTTTAAAAGAAAACTCATTTTTATTTTCTTCTTTAGAATAAAAGCATGAAAGCTTTTACCTATTTTTTCAGGTTTGAGTAACTTGAAAGAGACTGTTGAAGTTCCTTTGCCACCTGACTTGGTTGTGACAATAATGTCCCCTTTGTCATTTTTGGCTTGTCCCACTCGACATACTATTTTACTCGCAGACATCCATTCTGCTGTCAGGAGGCAATTATGTCCACAAATAGTCAAGCCTGAAAATAAAAGCATGCACATAATCAAGTTCAACAGAACAATGATAAAATCTTAAACATGTTTATTACATGAACAATGAATCCAGTAATAACATTTTCTCGTTCAATAGTTATTTTTACTATTGAATATACCAAATATTTTTTTCAAATATACTGGTATCTCTATTGATTTATTTCTAATCTTTTTTCTCTAACTTTTAAGACTTCTCTTATATTACATTTAAGTTTCTTCAAATATCAATGGAATTAGAAAATAATTGACTATAATAATTAGACTAGGAATCCCAGATTACTTAGACTATGAGAATCTTAAGTTGTTTTCAGAGGTATTAGAAGGAAAGTTATTGCTATTATTAGAAGTCTAAGTTATTGATACAGAATTTTAAAGTATATTAAGTTTATGTATCAATCCCTAAAAATGTTCTATATCCACCCATCTTCCCAAAAATAAGCTGCATGCACTTTTTCTCGTGTTCAGTTATACATGGTATTACAGAATGATCTAAAGTAGATGCTTTATTTATTTTAAGCATGCGTTAGAGTACAGTAAATCCAGTCAAATGTTCATGGGCATTGCTGCACTGGCATCTTATTTTTTATACATGCATATCAGCTCCTATAGCGTAGTTCATGCTGCCTCAATGTTTTCCTAATGAGATTGTCACCGTACTACAATGTGTATCTACCGTAAACCGGTACTCCTAAAAGGTCGACATTTAACTATCACACACACCCCCATGCCATATAAATTAAAATTGAGGCAATAACCAAACAGGGAGGCGGTGAAAGACTGGAGTGAGTAAGGCATGTCCCCCAGTGGACACCACTATACCACACATTGGCCAGCTAGTCTTCCAATTTACTTCCCTTGTATTTTCCATGTCCATAAAACAGAAATCAATGCAACACGTACTCATGAAGAATGTAAACCAGTATGCATGCGGCACAGAGCCAGGCGCTGTGCACTCTCTTCTCTCATCGTTGGACTTGGTACACTGCTCAGCGGTCCAGTTTCACACAGTTGCGGTGTCTTTTTTTCAGACACCAGGAACACTTCAACTAATGCCAATTTTGGTTTTAAAAATGGAAGGAGAGGTTCAAGTCATCTTTTGTTACAAGTTAAAGCACTATTTAGTAAGAATGTGATACTAACCATAAAGGAATAAAAACAACTACATTTTTCAGACATATTTATACTGCTTGAAATAATGAAATTTAGTAGTTTCCCGAAAACATCTATTATTTACCCATGTATGCAACTTTGTCTTTCTAATAATAGCATAAAGGTTCCTGTAGAGCTAAGTTTTCTGTTGGTATTTTTTAATGTGTAATGACATCCTTAAATGCATTCATAACTCAAAATTATTTTTTCATAATGGGAATGTCTCTGATGTCTTTCCTGATAATCAGCTTTTGTTATGAAAAATTTAAGCAATTTAAGAAATCAAGAGCCTCTCTGAACTCCGCCTTCCACAATAAACACAATGTACATTTGCTCAAGTGTGTATATATAAACCAGTCTATGTATTTTTTTTAGCCTATGTGTTTTTCAGAAATGTTACTGGAAAATGTGTTCATTGGGAAATGTTTTAATTTGTAACCTGCTTAAGTATAGATGGTGGATATTTGTATATTATTCCAGGTCGATACATAACTTAATATTTTAAAATTTTATAATTTGAAAAAGATTCTTGTAATTTTAAATATTAACTCACTTCAGAAAAGAAAACAAATGTCAGGGCATAACATAAAAATACAAACAGTACCTTCATTAAAAAAAAAAGTCATTCCTAATATAAGTTCCCTTCTAAAGAACTATCCCATGATTAAAACTCAGGAATGGGAGCTTTCAGATATAAAAAGTCTTAAGAGCATGTTCACATGAGCAAACATGAATGATGTCTATGAAGGTACAAGCTGGCAAAAAAACTGCCTCTAGAACACTAGTTTATTCATCTGGTCATAGCTGTTTTCAAAGTTCCTCTGATTTAATATATGATCTGCAGTTTTACTCCAAAAATGAATAATCAGCAAACAATTCAAACACAGATTCAAACAGACCACATGAAAAGAAAATAAGATCATAATACCTATTTCTTCATTGCTTAAGCACATATTTCCTAAGTTACTAAAATCTAAAAATCTGCTTCCTGACATACAATAGCATCTTTTTTAGAAAAAGTAACTTGTAGAATTCCAAGTAAAGCACTTTTCATAGTGTTTTATTATATGGCTAGTGTAGATATTATCTGTTTGAACACTAAAATTAATTAGCAGGTTAAGTTTGCTTTTTTAAAAAATGGTTTCTGGGCAATACATGAGACGGGTTGAAAGCTGAACTAGCAAAGTTTATAAAAGTAATACACACTTAGTCAAGTAAGAACAGTATTACTGAAGCTAAAGCAAGATTAAAATTTGCATAGACTAGTAACTGTCAGGTCCGGGAGCTCATAATAAACACTAGTTAAAATTTTGGACATATTTCCATTCATTCTGGGGATTTTTCCACTTGGGTAAAGAAATATCTGGAATGAACTATGTCAGAAACCAAGACACGGGATTAAGTAAGACTATCTTCACAAGAATTAATTTAAGTAATGTCTACAAAAGAAACAAGAACTATAGCTGCAAGATGTATTTAAATAACACCAGCAAAAGGAATGAGCTGAGAAGTGCAAGGATCAGCTACTAGACAGTGCAGGGCTCCAATTCACTTTCGCTTTTTAAAGGATTAGATTCTGGATGACCAAAAACCAATCTATCAACCAGGAGTTGTAATGCAGAAAAAGCAAGTTCTAACTCATAGTGTCCAGTCCTTTACCATGGGTCCCTCATCAATTCAGAAATGAGTCAAGAAAATGTCCAAGTCCAGAATAAATTCATGTGGGAAGTCAGAACAGATATTCAGTAGCACATCCTGGGGTCTTTCTCCTCCTCATTCTAAATGCACTGTAGATCACCATAAGGAACACACAGGCAAATAATTGTAACTGACCACAAAATTATATTTAAAACTTGCTCTCATCCCTGGCTGTCCCTGACAGCCTCTCTGACACCCATTTATATTTTATAAATCAATGTTTTAAGCTACATCTGTACAGACTGAGACTTAGCAGGCCAGGGAATATTTTTTTGAGTTCTAGAGCAAATTCAGACAAGCCAGGGCTGAGAAGCATTGACATACGTGAATTTGTAAAGAGTAGGCCAGTGGCAGAAGGGGAGGGAAAACACACGTGCACGCCAACACCCAACACATTCACACCGTGCTCCTGGGTGCAAGTGTCCCATTGTTCATGTCCTCAAGCCTAAGCTCTGCAAGGGAAGACAAGAAACCAGAGCTGATACTAAGAACTAATCTTTGGCTTGCTGTAAATAGGATCCACAGGTGAAGTCAGGACATACACCTGGGAGGTGGGTGATGCTAGGAGGCCCCAGGTACTGATGTCACCAGGAGATGAGGTTTAAGTGTGATTGGGAGAGCAACACGGAACAGAAGGGGCATAATTCACAGAGCACTTGAGGAAGAACAGCTGACAGTTTACAATGGAGAGAAAACAGAGAGAAGAAACACATACGGAGGTGGCTGCTATGGCAATCTAAGCAAGAAGGGTCAAAGCTGAGGAAACGGAAGCAAATCTCAGCCATGGGAAACTTTCTAAAGGACTTGTTGAAAGACAATATGGACAAGATTTGATCAAATATTAATTTTCACAAAAAAAACAGAAAACCAAATAATTCTTTCGTTTTTACTCATATAATTCTGTAGAGGTCACAATGTTTTTCTATTACCTTCCCAATTTCAAAATAATACATCCCGCCTCAATGGCCCAATATCAGCGTGCGTTTACCACGGTACCTCGCACAGCCCTGCCCTTACCGATGAGGTCGGCATGGCCAGTCCCCAGGTTTTCTCCTCTAATTGTGACCTTTGTCCATGGTATTCCTTCATTTGGAGAAATGCCTGTCACAAGCGGGGGTTGTCGGGATCGAGACATTGTCCTTTGTGGAGCAAACTGGTCATCCAGTTACAGAAGTAATCTTTTAAAAGAGAAAGAAAGAAAGGATTAGTGCCAACTGAGATAAGCACTGACTAAAAACATAAGAATGCTAAGCACTCAGTACCAAAATATAAAAAGTATTCTTAAACATGTAGTTCAGAATTTTCTAGCTGTCAGCCTATCAGCCATACTAAACATAAAGTTTACCAAGGACACTCTAGTTCATACTGCAAGAAATATATCAGAAGAATAACAGAAAACTAAGTTCTAAGAAAGTTGTAAGAACTTTCAGTGTAATGGCAGATAGAATCTAATGTCACTATTTAGCATCATGTCCACATCTGCTGAATCTCAAGTATATACTACAAACTGTGCTACTGTTCTGCTCCCAAAGTTAAGGAAGATACAATTCCAAGTAAAGCACTTTTCATAGTGTTTTATTATATGGCTAGTGTAGATATTATCTGTTTGAACACTAAAATTAATTAGCAGGTTAAGTTTGCTTTTTTAAAAAATGGTTTCTGGGCAATACATGAGACGGGTTGAAAGCTGAACTAGCAAAGTTTATAAAAGTAATACACACTTAGTCAAGTAAGAACAGTATTACTGAAGCTAAAGCAAGATTAAAATTTGCATAGACTAGTAACTGTCAGGTCCGGGAGCTCATAATAAACACTAGTTAAAATTTTGGACATATTTCCATTCATTCTGGGGATTTTTCCACTTGGGTAAAGAAATATCTGGAATGAACTATGTCAGAAACCAAGACACGGGATTAAGTAAGACTATCTTCACAAGAATTAATTTAAGTAATGTCTACAAAAGAAACAAGAACTATAGCTGCAAGATGTATTTAAATAACACCAGCAAAAGGAATGAGCTGAGAAGTGCAAGGATCAGCTACTAGACAGTGCAGGGCTCCAATTCACTTTCGCTTTTTAAAGGATTAGATTCTGGATGACCAAAAACCAATCTATCAACCAGGAGTTGTAATGCAGAAAAAGCAAGTTCTAACTCATAGTGTCCAGTCCTTTACCATGGGTCCCTCATCAATTCAGAATCAAGTACTCGGGCTGCAGAGGCCCCGGCAGGTGGGGTGAGGCTCCATACAGCAGCACGGACCTGCCGGTGACTGTACCTTCCACATGGAGAAGTGAGACACCCTGCTCTTCCTTCTTCCTGCAGGCAGGCAGGCAGGCAGGAGATCAGAAGTTCGGTCTCTCAAGAAACCAAACGAGCACCAGGATTCAGGGACCCCTGGCACAGCAGTGGTGTGGGTGGTTTGGGGGCAGGCCAATGTCAGAGATTCAGTGTAAACCTGCACAGCAAACTCCCCAGGCCGCCCCTCCCCACACCCCTACCTGCTCTCACAGCACTGTCAAGCCATCCCCAACATTCCACCCTGTCCAGATAGTTAGAACATGACTTTCAGGAGAGCCTAAAGAGCCCTAGGAAAAAAAGACCCAAAGATCCTGACTTGTGAGTGTTCCCCCAAAATAGGAAGGGCTGTTTGCCCTCATGTCACCTGGTGAAAAAGGCACTTATAAGCAAACTCAGCCCACACACAATCTAAATCCAATCAGCTGTTAACAGCCTCCCTCAATGGAAAGACAGCCAAAGCTCACGGTATGGTCAAGAAAAATATGGAAGACAGATCCAGAATAAATAGATACTGCAGGTATTAAATGGGCTGAACTGCAGTGTACCACCCATCCCCCAACTCCAGCCCACCCCCACCAAATTTCATATGCAGAAGTCCTAACCCCCAGTACTTCAGAATGTGGCTGTTATTTGGAAATAGGGCCTTTAAAAGGGTAATAATGGTAAAATGGGGTAATATGGGTGGGCCTTATAAGAAAAGGAAATAGGATACAATCATGCACAGAAGGAAGACCGTATGAAGGTGCAGGGAAAAGACAGCATCTACAAGACAGGGAGAGAAGCCTGGAGCAGATCTGTCCCTTATTAACCCTATTGACACCTTGATCTCAGACTTCCAGCCTCCAGAAATGTGAGAAAATCAGTTTCTGTTGTTTAAGCCACCCAGTCCACGGTACTTTGATATGGCAGCCCTAGCCAACTAATATAGCAAGTAACAGAAAAAAACTTCAAAAATATTGTAAAGTTTGATACTAAATTAAAATCTGCAGAGAGAGAAAATTTTTAACCTTATAAGAACAGGATGCCATGAAAAGGAATCAATCTAAGAATAAGAGCTCTAGAAACCTTCAAGAAAGTCAAAAGAAACAAGATTTATATAGTCTTTATAATGTAGGAACTAGTCATTGGTTTAACCAAAGTAACAAGGGCCATAATAGGCAGATGTGTGTTTGGGGAACAGAGGAGAGGGGTGAAGAGGCAGAAGGAGTGATCATTATTTTATTTCCCACAATGGAAGACTGGTAGCTAATGTCTAAAGTTGACTATCGAGAAACGGCAGAATCTGGAAATGTGGAGGTGGATGTCAGAAGAGACAGCCAGAAGAGTTTGGAGTGTATTGTATGATAAAGTATTCAACTGGCCTTTGTCCCCGATTTCTGGAAGGGGGCTCTTAAATCCTTGGAATTTCCAAAGTAATAGGAGTGTCTGTCATGCTACACCTATGTTTCGGCCCACAAGATGACTCAGGGCTGGCCATGTCAGGACCACACGATCAGAGAGCTGGGGTCTTGAGCAACACCTATCAACTGTGTCCTATGGAGAGGAGCACTGGAAAATAAGCTCAATCACGTGGCCAATGGTTTAGTCAATTTTGCCTACCTAATTTATTTAATACAAATAAAACAGCAAAACAGCAACTACAAAAGAAGGTCCAGAAAGACACTATCATCCATCCAATAAAGCAGCAAGACAGCTCAGGCATCATGAGTAATTCTCCTTCCCTGTGGCACCCCAAATCAAACAGAGCCTTCCTTTCAGAACTGAGAAAACTAGTGCTCTCAGGTCTATTGCTGCTCTCCCTGTTCAGTCCTTCACCTCCTCCACCTGGAAACTGCCACAGACTTCTAACTGCTGACTCTGCCATCTAACTGGATTGCACCCGCAACCCACCCTCAGCACACACCAGAGCTAGGTCTCCAAACACAGATCTAACCAATATCATCCCTGCTTTAAAAAAATCTTCTGGGGCCGGCCCCGTGGCGCACTCGGGAGAGTGCAGCGCTTGGGAGAGCAGTGTCGCTCCCACTGCGGGTTTGGATCCTATATAGGGATGGCCGGTGCACTCACTGGCTGAGCGCGGTGTGGACGACACCAAGCCAAGGGTTGCGATCCCCTTACCAGTCACAAAAAAGATTAAAAAAAAAAAAAAATCTTCCATGACACCCACTGCTCTGTGGTCTCCAGTGCCCACAAACTCCTTAGCATCGTGTTCAGACCCTGTCACAGCCAGACTCTTCTACACCTGCTCCTTCATCTCAGCCACTGCACCCACTCGTCCATCTCTGATGAGCCTGCCAAGTGCTAGTCATGATTTCATTTACCCTCTTTCCATAAACAGAACGTCTTCCCAAGTTTGTGAAATCTTTCCCAATATTTCAATTATGCTTCCACTACATAATTCCAATATTCACATCTTAGATATTGCATTTGTGTCTCCTCTTAGAGGACCTATAATATTTAATCAATTTGACATCCCCAATACCTGCCACACAGGATCTGGCACAAAATAAGCTTACCATATGATGGCTAAAAGAAGTTGAATAAATGTTTTCTGAATGTTTCATGGTATCAGAGAAACATTGGAATTAAAATAGGATGAAAAAGAGAGGTAACAGTACAAGGTGTAGAGGAACAGGATGGGGGGTTGGGAAGAGGACTGGGATTGGGACAGACATACAAAACAAAAGTTATGAGTAAAAAAGACAACTGATATACAGATTAAAGAGAATTGAGAAACCAGAAATAAACCCTGCTATGGTTTGAATGTATCCCCCAAATTTCATGTGCTGCAAACTTAATCCCCAAATTCATATAGAGGTGGGGCCTTTGGGAGGTAATTAGGATGAGGTCATCAGGATGGGGCCCCCATGATGGGGCTAGTGGCTTTGGATAAGGAGAGGAAGAGAGACCTGAGTTGGCACACTCTTGCCCTCTGGCCCCATGACGCCCTCTGCTATGTTATGACACAGCAACAAGGCCCTCCCCAGATGTCGGCACTTTGGTACTGGACTTCCCGGCCTCCAGAAGTCTTTATGGTATTGTTATAGTAACAGAAAATAGACTAAGACAAGCTCGTTTATTTATTTTAATGATCCGTAAAATCAATTGATTTTTTTGAACAATAGAAAAATGTAATCTTTTCAACAAATGGTACTGAGACAACTGAATAATCACACGCAAAAGACTGGAGTTAAACCTCTTCCTTACACCACTCACAAAAATTAACCGTAAATGGATTATAAACATAAGTGTAAAAGCTAAAACTATAAAACTCTTTGAATAAAACATAGGAGTACATTTCTGTGAACTCGGGTTAGGTAAATCCTTCCTAGATCCAACACCAAAAGCCCAAGCAACAAAAGAAAAAGAAAGTTAAACGATCAACAAAAGAAAAAAATTAAACAATCAAAATTTAAACCTTTTCTCTTCAAAGGCCACCACCACCTAGAAAGTGAAAAGACAACCTATGGAATAGGAGAAAGTATTTGAAAATTGTATATCTAATAGGAAATGTATCCAGAATATATAACTCAATAGTAAAGGCAAATAACCCAATTTAAACATGGGCAAAGGATCTGAATAGACACTTACGCAAAGAAAATACAGAAACTGTATTTCTTTCAGGTACATGAAAACATCCCAAATATCAGGAAAACGCAAATCAAAACCACAACACCACTTCATACTCACTAGGATGGCTGTAATCAAAACAGCAAATAATAATGTGTTGCAAGGACCTGGTGCAACAGGAACCTTACACACTGCTGGTGAGAATGTAAAGAAGCCTGACAGCTCCTCAAAAGGCTAAGCAAGGTTACTATGCAATCCAGCAGTTCCACAGCATATACCCTACACAAAACTTGTACATGAA